AATGATGTGAATTATTGGAATTTAGATTTCAAACAAGGGCACTTACTTGACTTTGCTTGCCATATTCGGGTGCTTCCATATTACGATTAATGTAGAAAAGTAGGAAACTTATAATACCAGCACTTTTATCGATGGCTAGGCAGTGCATATATCTTTTGGATTTGGTAACTTTAGATACTGATGGAAAGACAATCAACTCGAGTTGCATATTATACAATTTGGTTACACTTTATGATGAAATGAAGACGTAACACTTTTGATACGATGTAGTCGTTTTTGAAAAAACGACTTCATGACAGTGTGGCACTGAGCAGTATGCAGGCTGACTGATGTACAGGCACCATGAGGGACCCCCTGTATGCAAGAGGGACATATATGTCCCTCCCCTTCAACCCTCACTTTGAAGTCGTGTAAAATTCAAAATACATCACCCACACAGATTCACTACACAGTTTTGAATACTGTGGGAAATTCCCTGTTCTGTGATATCATCAACTGTCATTTAAGGCAAAGCAAAATTTCTGAAAATTAGGTTCATCATAAATGTTGCCATTTTTATCACCCTGGCATATAATGCGGGGGGATATAGCGATCAACCAATCTGTCTGTCTGTAATCATTTTCTTTTCCGGGGCAGAACTCGAAAACCATTCAGTGTATTTGATCGAAACTTGGCAAATCTATCAGTCACATACTGAAGTGGTGCCTTTTGATATTTTGGGATTTTTCAAATTTTTATTTTAAAAATAAATTTATGGAAAGAAGTTGGAAATAGACTCCATTGGGGGTTGGGTTCATTTCCGGGGCAGAATTCGAAAACCATTCAGTATATTTGATGGAAACTTGAAAGATGTATCAGTCACATGCTGAAGTAGTGCCTTTTGCTCTTTTGTAAAATTTTATTTTTGCTATTTAGGAATGTTTCAAAATTTCATTTTTCCGTGTATCCATGGACACAAGTTAAACTTGAAATGGAGGTAGGTGTTGTTTCTGGAGCAGCACTAAAAAAACTGTTCAGCAGTGTTGAATCAAACTTAGAACATGTATTATTCAGGGGTTGGAGTGGTGCCTTTTGCTATTTAGGAATTTAGATATTTTTTTTCCTGTTTCCATGGCAAGAAGTTTTACTTTGACTACATCTTTAAAACTAATAGGTATTCTTCCTTGAAACTATGCACACATATGACCAGTTTGTCATCTGGTGCCTTTTGCTACTTAGGGAATTTTTTCAGTTTCCCTGGCAACAAGTTTGACTTTGACTGTTTATGCTGGTGTGTACCTGACATAGAAATACAAAGTTCCGAATCCCAATTCCATGGTATTGTTTTGATAGCTCAATAACTACTCTTGTATACTGACAGACAGATCAGATAGAAATTCCTCATCAAGTGGACTAAACAGGCAGATGATTTGTTCTTTTTAATTTTTAGGGGCCGGGAGGATTTGTCATCTTCTGATGACTCTTGTTCACACATTACGAAAGCCCCCGTTACACTATCAAAAACTTTGATAAAAAACTTGGTCAAAGTCCATCTTGACCAACTTTTTGATTGTGTAACATGCCTTCAAAAACACTTTGACAAAGTTTTTGATGGGACTATGAAGGAATAGAAAACCGATCCTATCTGATTACGTATTTCATAACATAAAATTAATACAAACAGGTGTGTGTCTTGTCCAATTAAGATACACAGCAAACTATCTAACTCTTTATATGTTGAAGAAATTATTTACATTGTAAAAGCAGTCATTTTATGTTGTGTCGAAAAAGCGTCAACTTCCGTTTTATTCATCGAGATTTTCATTACCATGAACGAAAATTAGAGGAGATATATATTCTCCAGAATACCAGTGTCCGACGTTATCAATGCCATAAAACCAGCCATGGCGTCAAATAGAATGGTGTCATTTTTTTAGTAATTCATTACATTTGATGAAAAAGCTAGTGCTCCATAAATAATGGTGCAACATCAGTGAAATTACACTGGAATGGAATGATATGTTGGAATCTAAGGACTTATTTATAGGCTAGATGAAAGATCTACTTTGTTACTACTTCCTTTTTTATGAAGTATGATTCCATCACTTCTTATGGGTTTGTGCAATGAAAACACGACAGAGGGTTAAGAAAAACAATATAATTTAATACACATTGGGATATAGATGATATATACAAGGGGGCTGCTCAGTCGAATACGGAATGTCCTGCGGACCAGGGTTAGTTCTAGGGCAGTGCTGGCCTGCGAGGATAGGGCAACCCTGCGGGTAGTGGGAGCAGATTATTATTAGGGAGATTGAATGATAGGGGTACCCTGCAGGTATTGAATGTGAACTGGGTGCTGTGCCGGACCAGGTAGGTAAGGAATTTTGGGGGGCCCCAAGCCATGTAATGCTGCTGCCTGAGGCATACAATGGCTTGAGACGCCCACAGGACGGATAGGGGTACCCTGCGGGTAGATGGATAGGGCTATCTCGTGGGTCGAGATGTGTAGAGGGATAGGGGTACCCTGTGGGTAGATGGATAGGGCTACCCTGCGGGTAGAGGGATAGGGGTACCCTGCAGGTATGGATGTGAACTGGTGGCTGCGCCGGACCAGGTAGGTAAGTGTCCTGTGGACTGGGGTTAGTTCTAGGGCCGTGCCCGCCTGCGAGGATAGGGCTATCTCGTGGGTCGAGATGTGTAGAGGGATAGGGGTACCCTGCAGGTATGGATAGGGCTACCCTGCGGGTAGAGGGATAGGGGTACCCTGCAGGTATGGATGTGAACTGGTGGCTGTGCCGTACCAGGTAGGTAAGTGTCCTGCGGACAGGGGTTAGTTATAGGGCCGTGCCGGTCTGCGAGGATATGGCTACCCTGCGGGTGTAGAGGGGTAGGGGTACCCTGCGGGTAGAGGGGTAGGGGTACCCTGCGGGTAGAGAGGGGTAGAGGGGTAGGGGTACCCTGCGGGTATGGATGTGAACTGGTGGCTGCGCCGGACCAGGTAAGTAAGGTAATGCTGCTGCCTGAGTCATGCAATGGCTTGAGACGCCCTTAGAAATAATGTGTTTAAACCAAGCAGCCCCAAGGTGGTGAAGGGGTGGATGGAGGGTACAAATTGACTTGACAGAACGATAGTTAAAGGGCAAGATGGAGGCTGAAAAGAATTTACATAAATACATTCATTCCTTTGCACTGCACATGCCCAGTAGTGAAAGAAATCATTGGAGTATATAAGGAATTTATCTACATGGATGTTGGTTAACGATAACACGGCTATGGGAGAATAATACTAAAACAAGGGCAATTGGCCTGACAAGAGTGATAACAAACATTATAACAATTTAAGAGATAAACTGAGAGCGAGACCACCGGAAGTGGTAGGGTAAACAAACTGCCGTACGAGCACATGGCAAAGGATACAATTAAAGATACTATTGGGGAGTGGTAAAGGCAAAGGCGTTAGGGTTGAGATACTACAAGATGAACTGCATATAACGACGTAGGTGGTATTATAATTGCACAAACAAAAATATTAAATTTACATTTTGTTTATACCTAAACGTATACAGCTTCAATATCAATATTTGTGTTGGAATAATTTGCTTCCTTGTGAACAAATCACCATGAAAATATATTGTCCTTATCCACAGCTAATTCTTACCAAGTGATTAGTGCTAAGTATAGCAGAGTCATGCCCCCTTGTCTTTGTATATATATGTAAACTCTGTCATCTTTTGAAAGTATATATAGGTGAACCAGACACACATGTGATTATCTAGTGAAACTATGAACAAATACTACTTTATTCCTGTGAAAAAGTAATCTCCTATATATAACTGTGGTCATTTTTTTCTGTCAAATAAATATACATACTACTTACTGGAGTTAATTTGGCTTTACAAATTTAGAAATACAGCCAAGTTGGGGTCTTGAGAGTGCTGTCCCTTGAGCGTGTTTCCATATAAGGATGGTACCGGAACCGGGCGTAATAGAAGACACCGCCAATATTTGCTTGCTTGGTGGTGCAAGTGTACTAGAGGTCATAAACAGGCCTGAGACCTTGCAGATTGTCCAAAAATATCCGACTGCTTGTCCCAGTAACCTCTACAGATAAGGGTGTCTGATTTCAATTACATGATGTTCATTAGAATCAAGATATCAGAGATATGTGGATTGTTACTAAGTTGTCATTATTCTTTTGCCAGTATATTCAACAAAATATGAGGTCATTCAAATAGAGTTTTCACAATTTCAAATGTTTCAAAAGACACATTACATCCAATTGTGGTCCATTTTGCAAAATAACAGATTTAACACATCCTCACCCCTCAGACGTCATTTAACTGAAGAAAGGTGAGTTGTGAATGAGGTGGCTTGTTTTGAATGTTTTGATCTTTGTCCGAGCTGTTATTTTCCCCTTTCATATATATCCTGCAGTGCCTCACAATCTGCAGTAACTCTTTGCAGCTCTGGATCCATCAGGATCTTCACTTGAATATGTGAGTGAGTATAGTTTTACGCTGCTTTTAGCAATATTCCAGCAATATCATGGAGGGCAACACCAGAAAAGGGCTTCAAACAGGTTACCTGGGTCCACAGGGGTCACCCCCAATGCAAAATTTCTAGAATATTGACAAAAGCAGTGTAAAACTATACTCACTCAATCATAAATGTTAAATGGTAAGTCATGACAATTGATTTTCCCATCAGTTCATGTGACCCCTTTTCCATAAATATGTTATCCATGCATATTGTCATTTTTAGAAAATCAGCGTTAGAATTTGGCACTAGTCCTATAGTCCTTGTCCATCTGCCCAATAGTTAAGGTATGATAAGGAGTAGTAGAAATTTGCCAATCTTAGGGTTTTTCTATATGTTGTCATTGTAAGGACTAGTGGACTATAACTGTTAGTTTCTGCCCCTGAAAATATTGAACAATGTATGAAATGTCAACCTTCTAAAACAATGTTTTCTTTTACTAAATATTGGTAATATATAGTGTTGTTTCTACAATGTTACAGAAATGATGTAAGCTCCTACTACCCTAATCTACTTGGTGCTGGAAGTTCAGGATACAACCTCAGTTTGACAGCTGAAGATGATGCCCTGTCTTACACCTCCACAGAATTTGAAGCAGAGAGCTCTGTGATGACCAAATCAGCTGACTATTCTCCCTTTGCTCGAGATATGCTCCTTAATCTTAATATGAATGGTAATTAACATGTCATAAAAAAACCACAAATTCAAAACACTTTTTATGATCAGAATAGACACCATATCAACAACCCTGCTCCAGTAAGCACCGCATTACCAACATTTTAACCAATGTGCAAGTAATCCTTACAAGCACCCAGTACTAACTTCAAAAGTTTGCATGGCTGCCTGTATTTTTCTAATGTGTAGTACAGGTTTAGTTACAGTAAATGCAGCTACGTAGAAGGGGATGCATATTTTATATGCAAACATTGAGTATTGAATTTCCTTCCAAAGCAAAACACTTTACCATGGGCATATCATCACTGGAAATAACATTTCCACAAATCCATTTTAAGGATTGCCATTTAATCCATTTAATACAGTGTGTCTTTTTTTTCTATTTACAATCAGTTTCATTGCCACTGTGGTATTATTCTGCATTTAGATCACAGATCACACCAACTCAATGTTATTTACAGCAACACCAGACTTAAGTTATTGGTGCGTTGAAATGAACCTATACTTCTCAAAATTTGCTAAGGCGACACTTTTTTTATTTCTTGATTTACGGATGCGCCGCTCTTTCAAAGTACAAATGTTAAAAAATAAATAAAAATGAAAATTACCCTTTTTTTATTACCGCTGAAAAGTCAAAAAGTTCAAACAAAAAAAGATTTCATTTCCTCATCGAGCGTAAAGCAAAGGGAAGTCACTCTGATATTTCTCGCTGGGATCCTTCTCTAATACCATCAAAGCTTGTCATGCAAAAGCGCAGTGGTGACCAGCTTAACTCTTTCAACACTGTTGGCCAGTCAAGAAGCCACCAGCCACACCGCAGGGTGGACCGACCAAGTCACGTCAAAATAGTTTATAATTAACCTACTTGTCATATCATTCATTTATTAAATCTATCACATTTCACAATGTCTGAAATACGTATTCCATTTGATTTTATCATATTTTATCTATAGATTAAAAATTAATTCACTAGACACTATTTCACGCTATGTTATTGAAAATAATATTCTCTGACACACTTCGACAACGGGTCCTCATCGAACACGTCAAACAGCAAAATAAAGACGTTAAAAGCAAATCTTTGAATATATTATACAAAGTAATAAAATCAACAAAAATATATCTAAAAGTTGCCAAACTGACATCTAAGTTATTATTTCCATCTTTTCGTGCGATCGTGTGTAATCGTAAGTCAAATGACATCACGGCTTTCATCGCCTCGATTTCTTGGCTCGGACACGATGTCTTTAATGCCAATATATATGCATAAGAAATCTTTGTCACAGCTCGTAACCTAGTACAATGCATCCATAAAGTTCCATAATTTTAATATAGATTGCGATTTCATGCTTAAAACGTTCAGAATAACATGATTTAACCCAAAACTTTCGTCAAAGTCTGAAAATTACCGTTGCTGTAATTTGATTGGCTGCCTTATGTCACGTGCTTAAATTTGACCAAGCACGAACCTTGTAGCAGATTATGTCAGTGAAACAATATAGGTTTTTTTAATGTATACTGACATGGCATTGATGACATGATTGTGTTGTTCTTACAAAGCTTTGAAAACGGAGGTATTTCCTCATGTTAGTGAGCGGACAGCCAATATCATTGGGAAATGGGTGATGACAGATATTATTTGTAATTCTTTTTAAAATAATGTTCTGACTACGTAAACAAATGAAAATATAAAAGAAATAGATAAGTGGATTTTATGAAATCTTATATTTGCCTAAAATCGTTAAATGTTCGCTTCATTGGTCCTTAATCTGGACGTTATGAATGTTTTACCTTACATTATTTTTATTTAAATGAACTTTATTAAGTTGTTTATGAATTATTTAAATAATGTAATACACATAACTTACATATTTATAAACAATAGGATTAATTAGACCTTTCAAAAAGTGTATGGCCAAACATGTAGTAGCAAAGATGTTTTACAAGCAGAAAATTTCCCTGGTAAATGTTGGCTTCATCTGTCACACAAGAGTCTCTGGGAACTTGGTGTCACAGCAGTAATCTTCTGGTTGGCTGGTGTTGAAAGAGTTAATGTCGCCCATGCTGCCAAAATAGCAGCGTCTTTCATGCATTTTCACCCATGACATGAATATTGTTATATTGCCATTTGTGCACAAGCTGAGTGCCAGGGATATAATAATATGTTCTTGAAAAATTGAGTTGTTTTACTTTTGTTACTCCCTGATATATAATTTTAGGACAAAATTCAAGTAAAAAAAATGTGAGGCTTTTTTTTTTAATTTTTAAAATGGCCTGCCTCACTTTTGATATGAGTTTGAAATTCGTAAACCAAGAAATAAAAAAAGTGTCGCCTAAGGATTACCACTTTAAAAGGTAATATGTCAAATTGTGTGCATCTGTTGAAATAGACAAAGACAATATTGCATGATGAATTGTTTAATGAATATACTCTGTTGTCATGTGCCACACCATCCCAACAAACTTTGACATAGGTGACGAATAATCAGTCCAATCACCAGTCAAAATCAGAGGTTCTGGCCAAAACAGAAACATAAAATAATCACAAAGACAAATTCATTGTCCCAAATAACAACTCTCAGTAGCATGTATGTGATCCACCTGATGCGATAGCAGCCTAGTACTGTCGTTTCATGCTCTCAATAAGTGTCTAGATGGTTGCCAAGGGAAGATTGATCCACTCTTCAGTTAGAGCAAACCTGAGTTCTGCAGAGTTGCTGGAAGTCATGACTACCTCTGAAAACTATTTTCACAAGACATCGTATTCCAGACATCTATCGCTTCTCACACATCACAAGTAGCCAGAAGTACCCTCAAAGTTATGGTGAGGCGGAGAGAACGGTTCAAACAGTGGAGCAACCCTTAAAGAAATCATCAGCTCCTTACATGGCTCTCCACCCCTATAGGAGTACATCTTTACAGGATGGATTCAGCACTTCTCAGCTGTTGATGGGATGCAACAGCGTTAGAAATTGGCACTAGTCTTGTAGTCCTTACCAAACTGCCCAATAGTAAAGTTATCCTAAGGACTAGTAGAAATTAGCCCATTTTAAGGGTTTTGCTAAATGTTATCATTATATCATTAAAATCAGATCTTAGTTCTCGCTATCGCTAAACAAAGTTCTGCGGACATCCCATTACGGGTCATGTCAGACAACCTTTCATCCGACAAATCAAAGCGTCGCTTACCAGATCATGAAAGTGACAGTCGGAATGTGTTTTCTAAACATGCAACCTCGAAAACGTTGAAACAGGGTATTCCGAACGACAATTACCGTCAAAATTATCGTCTGTCTCTTGCTTCCGTAGGATAAACATTTGAATGGAGGAGGCATTGCACAGTACTTTGGAAGCACTACAATACAATCGTAACCACATATTAGACATTCCGGGTTGTTCTTTTGTTCAGTTTTCAAAATTTTAATCGAGAACAGTGTCAACATATTTTTCAAGTGTAGTCTGAAATGGAAGTCGCCAGGTTGAAATGAGTGCCGTAAAGCTCGAGAAAGCTGCTTTCTAATTGGCTGATGTCAACTTCTTGTTCTTCGTTTCAGTGGTTGGTCAAAGTTCGGGAAAGGCCGTTCTGACACGACCTGTAATGGGAAGTCCTCAGATCTTTGTTTAGCGGCAGCGAGAACTTAGATCTGATTTTAGTGAGATTGTCATTATAAGGACTAGTGGACAAAAACTGTTAGTTTCTAACCCTGATGCAACATGTGGACCACACTCCCAGTTCCTACGTCTCAACTTCATGTTAATGAACCATCTTCACAGGAACTATGACTTCACAGATCACATATTCTTCCGAAGTGAAAGAGTGAGATACAGTGCTTGTGACAGTGGATTTATCAGAGAAGGTGAAATCCAAAGGGAGGTTGAAACTCCCAAGATCATTCTACATCAAGGCAGGTGATAGGATCCTGCGCAGAAATCATAAAGATGCCTCAATCCTTTTTTGGATTATTTGCCATCAGGCCCTGGGATCATGAAACTAACTTACCATATTTTGTCTTAAATCGGGGATCACGAAGCTCAATTGATGAGAATATCTTAAGTCTAAGACAAAATTTGATCTTAAGTCCAAAGACTGCTCCTGAGTAGACTTAAGATAAAATTTGTTGCAAGAAAGATGGTGGAGGTTGTTCGCCTCATGTGTCTCCTAAAAAAGGAAAAAAATAGCAATTCAACGGACATCTCGAGACCGATTCAACCCTCTTCAAATGTACAACGACGAAGAGCTCTTTGAAAGATCTAGATTTCGTCGTTTTACCATTTTTTTCATCGTTGGTTTAATCGGTGATGAACTGGCACACCCCACTCAGCGCTCCCACAGTCTCCCACCCATTTTTCAAGTTTTGATATTCCTTCATGATCAGTTTGTTTCCGCCGGTAATGAGACGCAAATACCATCACATATATTTCAAAATCAGCTGTGATACCTACATCCTTGAATTCCTCATACATTTTAGAATCAAATGACAAATGGCCTTTGTCACCAATACAAATTGTCTAGATGAATTAAGCAAAATAAATGAGGTGTGAAACAAACGCTGAAAAATCTGCACTTGTTGGATATGTAAACAAAGCCATTCGTCTATTCGTTGAATACATTGGCTCAACATTTTCAGAATATGCATGGGAAGAGAATCGTAGGAAAAATTAGGGAATAAAAAATAGATACATTGCAATGATTTGATATTTTCGACAGAAATTGTCGAACGACAACGGTATTTATCGGAAATTCTAACTATTTCCGTTGATTTCAATGAAAAATATAACAGCAAATAACAGTAAAATCCTGTGCACTGCCATTTTGTAAATTTTTTCGGTCACCGGTAGTGGTGTCATTCTTCAACATTATTGTACATATTTGGTAATTTCTTTGAGGTGAAGTTCCTTGAATGAAAGTACACCTCACCAGTGTATCTTGCTGTTTACTTTTCATGATGTAGATCTTGCATATCTTTTGTACATTTTTCACACATTTAATTTCACTTCGGATATTAATCAATGTTCAATATGATATCGTACGTAGATATAGGCCACAACATATATGAACCTTTGATAATATCCTGTTTGTTTGAACAATGTTTACATATTAAATTGATAAGTTTATAGTGTTGTATACGATATTTCTTTAATTTGAACAAGTGTTACAAAATGAAATGTAATTGTAACTGCAACATGTCCGTATTTTTTGGGAGTGTAATAGTCATTATTATAAATTCATATAAACAGTGTCCATGAATAACCGTTTCAATTTATTTTATAACTAAAACTGAAGATATAACTTATATGATTATCCTGATAATTCTATACCAATAGAGCTTTTTCGCATCTTTTATTGTATAATTTTGAGACAAGATGATGAGAAATAATTACATAATGATGAACAAATACTAGTCCAAAATTGAATATAATTTTGTTTGTTGTAAATATTTTTTTCAGTACTTGATTACATAAAATTGATGCCAAACAGGTGCGTGCCTTGTCCAATTAAGATACACTGTAAACTATCGAATTGTTTATCTATTCAAGACATTATTTACATGGTAAATGCAGTCTTTTTATGTTGTCCAATTCCAATTAACCCATAGACTTTTTCCATACCATGAACGAAAATTAGGGGAGATATATATTAATCTAAGTACCACTGTCGTCTTTCTCTGACGTCAAAAACATAGAAGCAGCCATGACGTCAAGTAGAATGGTGTCATTTTTTTTAGTAATTCATTACAATTGATACGGTTAGAGTTCCATTAGTAATGGTGCAACATTGGTCAAATAACACTTGCACAATTAGGAGAATGGCGGAATCTAAGGACTAATTTATGGGTTGGATTCAGCCATCCATTATTACTTATTTTTTCTGAAGTACAATTTCATCATTTCTTATGGGTTTTTTTTATGCCTAAACATATACAGTTTCATTATTGATATTTGCGTTGGAATAGTTTGGTTCCTCGTCAACAAAACACCACGAAATTATTTTGTCCTTACCCACAGCACTAGTGCTAAGCATAACTGAGTTATGCCCCCTTTTCTTTGAAGGTGTGTAACCTCTCTGTCGCCTCTTGACGTCAGAGGTAAATCAGATTTTGTCATTTACGGCAGGCTATTTTTTACATTGAATTTATGTTGTTAAACATACGGATATAACTCCATTTGATATGTATTTTGTCGTTCAAATATTTGGCAGTATTTTGTTCGCTCACAGTTTCGGTAAAGCTGCTAAATAAAAAAAAAATGTTGCACAGTACTTTTATCGGTGTACGCTAAAAAGCGGAAAAAGGTCCTGTTTTTCAACGCAGAATCTTTTTTTCAAACCAGTTTAATATTTACAGTTAAATTTACACCATCAGATAGGGAATTTAATATTATACATCTCTGCGTAATTTTATAGCCGGGGTAGATCCAGTGCCGAGTGAGTGCAATTCTCGCACAACCTTGACCTTTCCCGATCTTAGGAAAATGTGCGTCAGAAAAATAACCACGGCATCCAATGATTACCACAGTATGGTATAACCTGTGCACGTCCCTATGACGACGGTCTTAGACTGAATCTTAGCTAAGCAAAATCTTAAAAACTTAAGGCAAAATTCGTGCTTAGCAAAATTTGAGCTAAGACCACTTTCATGATCCCAGGGCAAGGTGTGCAGCGTGACAAACCACCTGATGTGACTCTGACCAGATCCTGAAACTATCACTAGCAAGCTGCTAAATACAAGCACATGGCACCAGTCTCAATCTTGTGTACAGCTACAATTCTGGCGAATAAACTTGCTTAATGAATGAAGACTTCTTTGTCATATTGCCATATAATCAAGGGGAGCTACAGCCATGGCATTATTATAGCATCTCGCACAAATTATTGTAAGAGGCAACTAATGGGATGGGTGGTTAGGCTCGCTGACTTGGTTGATGCATGTCATCAGATCCCAATTGTGTAGATCGAAGCTCAAGATGTCTTCAATCACTGGTCCAAACTTAATTATTTACATACCGGCATCATATAGCTGAAATATTGCTGTGTTTCGTAAAACAACAAATAAACAAAGAAACAAGAACAAACATTTGAAGCTTATATTTTTATGTCATCAGTCGCACTTACTGAAATGGATGTTGTTTATATAGATCCAAAGACTCTACTGAAACTCCAGGAACATCACCGAGAGCTCAGACAACATTTAGAGCACGAGAAAAATCAGCGGGTTATGCTTGAGACTAAGGTCAAACTGCTCAACACTGAGAAATCTGAATCCCTAAGGTGAGTTTCTAATGAGGTTAATATCTTTTGACTTGTATTCACCTAAGTGATGAGGTTGTTTTGATTTATGAAAGTTCTGCAAAGACAGTGAACTTTGTGATAAGTGCAGATTTTGATGGGAATCTGTAAACTACATTGCCAATTTACTGAGGGAAGATTTGATGTGCCGACAACTAATGATGTTTTTCCGCTTTTACGCAAGTGGTAGTTTCCATCAATTGATTGGTGATACAATGGGTGTTGACAAAAGTATAGTTACAGTAGATGCGGCTGATGCTTTTGTTAAAAAGAAGAAAGAATTCATAAAATGACCAACACAAGATGGATTTTTTGCCTTTGGTGGTTTTCCGAGTGTCCTTGGCTGCTTTGATGGTATATGCACATACATATTCAAGCACCAACCACAGACAAACCAGCTTTTTCATTATTCGGAAAGGATACCACAGTATCAAGTTACTATTTCCTGTTTTTCAAGCTCTACTACTCATTTCTGTAATTGATTGACTTGTTCAGTAGGACTGAGTTTTGTCCTTTTTTTTTCTGTACTTGAGTTGCCTTGCTGAACGTCCATCATCAGTTCTTGGTGCTGCTTCACTGTGCTCTGTTATTTTAGAGTCTCTGTCTTCAGGATCTTGTGATGCTTGGGTGGAGGTACATGTAGTAGCTGCTAAAGTAAGCTCTAACGCATTGGTTGGCAGCCCAGTGTCAACAACTGAGAAAAGTTCAGTTTTTGTTTTTTGTGTGTTTCTCTATCAGGGACAATGGCTTTAGAAGACTCATATATGCAGCTACTCTAGCTTTATTCATTTGTGCTTCAGAGTTATATTTATTTTTATGTTATTTACCTATTACTGTGTTGATATTAGAGGACTCAAACATCAACAGGATATTTACTTCATTGCAAATTTAGGAGTCTGAATGGATCTTGACTGTGTCTGTTTGTCTCTGCTTTTAACGTGTAACTGAAATATTCATTTTATCAAAATAATGAAACATGTTACTTCTGCTTCAACATAAGTTGCCTTACTGAAATTGAACTCTACATATAGCAGGTGTAGGGGAGCAGAAACATGCTCATGAATAATCTTTGATAACCGTTGAATTTGTGGTATATACACATGAACAAGTCAGGTATATCATAAGTTATTGGAAGAGCATTACATTACATATCCACTGTTACAGCAGATATCAACTCTTGCTCCATCAACAGGCTTTGGGCTTGATGTTGATGCAACAGTAGAGAAATTACATCAGATCCCATCTAATAATGGCAGTTTACAAAATTGTGTTCAGCATACTACATTAGTGTTTTTTCTACGATAGTCAGCATCATGGGATGCGTTGGTAATACTCATATCTCGTGAATATTATAAGATCATACTATGTTGGCTGTATTGTTCAGATATTGTAGACATGGTAGGCAAGCACATTCTTTCAAAACAGTTCAAGGTACACACTTATTTTAGTATAGAATTAAGTTTTTGTAAAATATTTTGCTCTCAAAGCACTTACTTGGAAGTATTTCTGATTCTAACCCCCAAATATGCTCCCGACACTTATCTAGTCTTACATTATCTCAATAATTCACTAAGTGGTCTGACTTGGTTCTGATGGTTGGGTCCCCCCTCTGGTCTTTCTCTGTTGCAGCTGATAGTCAATGAAGGTTTTCTTGGACTTTCTTGTCACATTGCTCCATATCTCCCTCACTTCATCAACAGATTGACACACTACACATTTCATGCTCACTGTCTTTTTGTGATAGCCATCCAAATAGAACTTGGCACATAGATTGGTCTAGTGGTAAACAGTTGCCTTTTGATAGTTTGGGATATTTGAAAAAGTTATTTTTCGAGTTTCCCTGGCAACAACTTTTACTTGGACTGAAAAATGGCGGTAGTGCTCGTTTCTCAAGCAGATCTTGAAAACTGTACAATATTTCTTCACCAAACTTGGCATGTGAATAGGTCTAGTGGTAAACAGGTGCCTATTGATAGTTTGGGATTTAATTTTTTTTTATTTTTCGAGTTTCCCTGGCAACAGCTTTTGACTTACACTGAAAATCACCAAACTTGGCACAGATCATGAAAACCTTGCAATATTTCTTCACCAAACTTGGTACATAAATAGGTCTACTGGTAAACTGGTGCCTTTTGATAGTTTGGGAGTTGTTACAAATGTTTCCTTAGAAAGTGCTTAACTCGGAAACCGTTTACATATTCTACAAAAACCATTGTCCGAGAATCATTACCATAATTACCTAATTGAGATGTATACCAATTGACAAAGGAACTTGGACAGGGTATAATGTGAATTATTGTGAAAACACAATTTACAAATGGCATCCGAACCAGCATACTTCACGGCATTGCATGGTGGTAACACGAAATAAAACTAAAATTGAATATTTCTTTAATGTGAGGAAAATTACTTTTATTCATTCACTTTCAAACTCACTGTCTTGGAGCTACACTGGACTTGTTGTTTACTGATCATGCCAGTGCTGTAGCATTCCAGACTCCAGTCTACTGCTCAGATCATCATATAAGTGGTGCTGTACTTCTCAGTTCAACTCATTGTGACCCCTGCTCTCAATGATCATTAAATAAATATTATGCATTGCACACAACTGGACATGTCATATTGGCGGGGGATATGATTATTTCATGCTTGTTTTATTCTATTCTATTTTTTTACAGAAAAGTTGAACTTTTGACACAACAGAAATCGTTTCTGGAGCAGGCAAAGCTTGATAATGAGGCCAGCATCAGAAGTCTACAGTAAGTGGAAAGTGTATCTTTAAGCTTGTTTGGTCCAAAGAGCAGGATTATACAGAATGAACATTAGTCAGTTATACTCAAAAAGGCCAAATTTATTCTGACATACAAGATACAAAGGGAAGTGGTCAAACCATTTACTGCACTGAATACAATTATTTCACATGGAAAGAACAATGTCTGAATGTAGGGTAACAAGCAACTGTTCACTAGAGCGGTAGAGCGGTACTGCCATATGCACATGAGTCAAAAATGGAAATGATAGAAGACATTCAAATGCGCAGTTCTTGAGACACCGCCACTTTCGCATGGTTTGATCATACTTCTTTGGACGATTATTCGACCGGGAGATTACGTGGTCAGTCCCTCCATCTATCTGGATAAACAGAGATATCTTCGATTCATCTTCAAGGGGATACTCTACCGTGGCCCTGTTGTCATTCACCAGGAGCATGAAACCTGTCACTCATTTTCTTCACTGCCAAGGGATCGTCAAAAAGGGGTTTGAGAAGCAGTCCATACTCAAGTTCTCGTTCGACTTTTGGATGTGATTGTTCGGGCATTGCATTTATCTACCTTCATCAGCTACATCTATTGGGAAGAACTCACTAGACACTTCCCTCTAAAAAATAACATCAAATTTACGATGTCCTCAAGTTGTGAGTGCATGTTCGAATCTCCATAAATGACGTCATGATAGAACAATGTTTCATCTTGAAATAAATAACGCTTCCTTCTTCTTTGTTCTTTGTGATTTATCATGTAGCTATCTTATATCATCAAATGCCAATTTCTCATTGCTTTATCATGACATATCCGTGTCATAACCAATCATGTAGCAATAGCATACACAAATATCGTTGACTTCGACGTAGAATAGTGTCATGATATATGATTATCCTTTGGTGTGCAATATTTCTGGTTGATAAATCTGAAACGTATGCTTACTTTTAAGAATAGCTACTATACATGTTTATATCACTTTAGCAGGTCTCTGTAACATTTGCAAAATAATACAAATTTAGTAATACAACTGAACCTAAATGTATGTATGTTGTCATATTCCTAAGTTGCTGAGTGTGGCATTAAACAACAGACAAACAAAACATAATATCTTTAAGAATTATGTTAACAATGCTGATGCTAAACATAATCTCCACAATCTCCATACCTCTTTCTCTTTAATATGAAAACATAATAACTTTTTTTTAATAATCTGTAGGAATAATAATGACAATAATATCATAATATCATAATAATATCATCATTATTTATGTTACTTATCCTCAACTGAAGTAGTCCTCCACACTATACATTCAATGAAGAAGCCCATGACATAACTATGTAACATACATTAATGGAAATTAGATGAACAGTTGAAGTTAGCAAATGATATTATTTCGGTCGAACGTCTTTCAGCCAATACTACATTATTGAATTGTGAGTCTACAGTGATTTTTACAAGGCTACTCTCATAAATGTCATGGCCCATTTTAGGCCAGTGTTCTATACATGCATTAATGTTCAGATTTATTATTACGTTAATTTAATGATTTACAGTATTCATGAAGAACATTTCACGTGGGACCAACAGAGGTAATTATGACTATCGACTTGCTAATTATGTTTTTATATTCATGCTAGCTCAAACAATCTAATTGGTTTAATTTATTGTTATGGTATTCACAAAATAAGTAGGATCCGTTTTTTTTCGTTTTCAATGACATGCATCAACCAAGTTAGCGAGCCCGACAACCCGCTCCCTTCAATCGCATCTTATGACAAGCATAGTCGCCTCTAACGGCAGGCATGGGTTGCTGAAGACCTATTCTAAACCGGATCTTCACAGGTCAAGTGAGATTCAACTGATATATTAAGATGAAATAAAACTGAAATTATATTTGCTGTTTACATATCAAAGTTTGCCAAATTGTTACAAAATGTTTGGCCACAGCAAGGCTACGTATTCACAACATATTGTGCTAGGCACACTATAACTGGACTGAGGGAGGGCCATATTCCTCCTTGTGGGTCACCTGCTTTGCAATATGGGATCGGAAAAGAGCAGGGGGTGAGGGCAGTTAAATTGATGTTGAGTTGATCATTTTACAAATGTGAAACCTCATTCTAAAAAGGAAGAGGTGAGGTTTACAGAACAAAGGAAGTTATTTCTAGTTTCTTACTGACTCTCGAGAATACATTTGACTAAACAACTTTGTGTGTGTGTGTGTGTGTGTGTGTGTGTGAGTGAAGAAGAATTGTACAGCATAAAAATGGCTACATAGTTCGGGTAGAATGCCCGGCCAGTATTACCTTTGTGACACTACATTTTCAGTCATTAAAATGCGTAAAACATTTATTGAGTAAAAGAAAACACTATAAATGAGTGAAACAAAAGACATCAGTACAGGCACAACCCAGTCCCCCAACCCCAAGTCTGCATGTATCAATACTCATACCTGCCACATCCTCAACCACTTAACTTACACAATCATCTCACAACATGTTCGCCAACCCTCGTATCACAACACATGCAAGCACGCACGAACACATCGCATTCATCTTTCCTTACCATATCCCTACAACCATCTCATTATGTCTACGTCAGCCATCATGGATCCATGCGCATGCTTACATACATAATCCATCCTCCCACCATTCCCCAACATCCATCGAACTATAACTATATCCGCCCTCATGTGTAGGTATTCGTGCTTACACACATACACCCTCCTACCATTCCCCAACATCCATTGCACCATAACTATAACCGCCTTCATACATCTGCACTCATGTTCATATTGCATTGCATGCATCGATTTCCACATTTAAAATATCGTAAATATTTTACAATATGTACATATTAAATATCAGCAAACAGAGATTATAATGCAATATATTTCATCTGTCAAAACATCACAGAAAGAAGGGCATCCTTGAATTTTACAATGGTATCAGTATGCACTAAGAAGTTCACCTGGTCAGGAGGTGAGAGTTGCGGAGAGTTGTTAACTTCTTCACAACCGTGAGACTTTGAATTGACTTTATTGGGTAATCAAAAAAGCCACTGAGAATGCCCCCTGCAGAGTTGGACGCACATTTTGCGGTAGCGCGGCGGTGTTACCAGAGGCTATCAGCAGTATTTCCTGTCGAGGTTATTTTGGTCCGTGCGTGCGTTGGGGATGGTGAGATGATGGATTTAACAAGAAGTAAGGTCATCTTGCTTGAGGGGAAAGGTATTTGTAGATGGATTAGCATATGAACTATGATTCTCTTTAGGTAGAAAATGAGGATCCACGATGTTCGACCTGGTAGAAGTGTGTAATCAAACCGCAGTCTGTGACTGACTGTGGCGTCAAAACAAGCTCATTCATTTACTTGAACTGAATGTTCATCTTAATTGTAATGGATAGTCATGGAGCCGTGTTCCAGAGAACAGGGTGTCATTAGATAAAATTAAAGTAATAATAGGATTACCAGAAAATGGGGAAAACACCCAAGCCAATAAGGTTTGCTCAGGAACACCAGAGTAAGTCAGTACAAGATTGAAAACTGCCCTATAATTATGTATGACAGGCTAATCGGGTATTGCTACATGTATATGTGAAAACGAAGTTATTAAAAGGAAGAGCAAAACTAATTAAAGTTACCAATAAACGTGTATAAGTGTTATATCGTCACTGCAAAATTAATGAGTGTTTGTCTTTAGTATTAACATTCATATATCTGTATTAGCGGTATTGTCTACGTTCCACCGGTGTGTAAGCTTTAGCCTTACCATCTCGTAGTATAAATATTGCAAGCAATTATATTTCTGAAGACATCAAGATACAGTTTTTACGATGCATCACGTCTGCACCAGCGCTTGATGACAGCCTTGTGTTTGGGTGCTTCAGTAGTTTAAATTTAAGTCTTTTGTCCTGATTTAAAAGTAAATGCAAGAACAGAATCAGTTGGAATACAATGTATAATTCTGGTCCACTTCCATATGACTATGTAGCATACAATAAGCTTTTGGGTCCCGTTTGGATCAGTTTGGGTGGCAGCCAAGATATCCATAGAATAGGTTCATCTCGGAATCCGCCATATCACTGGGGCTCCTCTTCAATTTAAATTGAGTAACTTCTTTCTTTCAAGCCTATACAGTTTTAGAGACTAAGCATTAGTCTGAATAGACGTCACCAGTTTGAAATTTGAAACTGGGCGGACGAACCTTAAAACTGTTAATAAACATTAAAACAAGCAATATCGGAAAAACATATATGCATATAATATCTGACAATATATACCAAGTTCAACTTCTACAAAATAAGTTTTAAAAGCCAATTGATATTCGTTTGCATATTTGCGAAAGTATAAATCTTTTTTCTTTTTTTAAATCTACTCAGACGTTCCTGAGCCTTGCGCTTTCCTAATTATTTTGACTAAAATTATTACAGTTATCATTGTATTAGTTAATGGGAAATGCGTGCCGATTAAGTATGTGCCATAAATTTAAGCGACATTGTACGATTCCGAACTTATCACTAGACTGTGTTTATGAAGCATTGTCAAATAGTGGTGACATTAAATCTAGGAAACAATACGCAAAATCTCGCATGCGCCGAACGATTGATTTCAGTACTTCCGCTAAGTGCTTTGAGTACAGCGTCCTGTAATCTAACACGCGAGAACTGACCAATGAAATCTGAGAAGTAGAAATACCAGTTGATGCTGTTGCTTGATTGACAATGTCAATCAAGAAAGGGAGGAGCTGATGATATTGTTTCCTCCCAATAAATTCCGATGTCAAATAACAACGTTATTTGGACGGAAAAACGATGATTTCAAAGCGTCCTTTTGGCTGCATTCTATCATCCTCAGGGCCTACACATTTGCGGGACTACCACCCCCAGTTGCCTCCAATCCTCATGAAATGAGGGCAGTGGCTTCCACCTTGGCGTTGCATAGTAATTGCACACTCTCAGCCATTATGGAGAGATGTTTCTGGCGTTCTGATACAATCTTTGCCTCCCACTACCTTTGGGATGTCTTGGTCGCCGATGTCAAAGGTCTTCATCACCTTGGCCCTCTTGCTTTGGCCCAACAGCTCACAGCAGCCAGACAGCACAGATGAGGATGCCCAACGTGCTATAAGTATCGTGTCTGGTATCCTGTATATCATGCAATAAAGTCTTTATGTTACTTTATTATTGCTTATGTTTAATCAGGTTTCCCAGCCATGCTCCCAGAGGGAGGGAAAATATGCTTGTCTGTTGGGACTTCAGTCTACGCCATAGAAGCAACCATCCGGTGTGGCCATTTGTTTATTGGTGTCCCGATCTTCTCCCTGCTCACCTCTGTCTTGCGCATGTGATGTCTCAGTATTAGATTGAAGACCTGTGTGAAAAACAGGCATTGTCGATCGTTTCCTCTCCTTCTTCTTACCTTATTCAATCTCTACGTAAGTTTGATAGGTTGACGAAGCGAAAAAAGAGATGCCAAGATGGTCAGCCTTTAAGTCCTTGGAAGCGTATGTGTAAAGTCTGTCTTTTAGAACCTACTGGTCAGGGATGGGGTGTTTGTAGCAAAACACAAGGTTTCGCCTGGCTCATTGTTACGCGGTCGTTTCTTGGAATGGCGTCCTGTGTAAAACCATGGAACACATGATTCCCTGATGTCATGATGTATCTCTCTTGGCAGCAGGTTTTTCAATAATCCTTGTAAAATCCTTTGAATTTTCTTGATTAGTTCCAGCTTCCTCATGTACATCTCACGGTTGAGGTCCTTACAAGCTAGGGTATATGCACCCCACCTTCTAACCGTGGGATAGTGTGAGATAGGACAAGTGTATAAATATACAATTTATTAGAAAATTTAGAACTTATACTTATCTATCCACGCATCACAGTTACACTAGCCTGTACGCTCTAGATTGAGAATGAGGGTGCTGGATGTGTCAGGTGATCTGATCGCAGGGGTCGTGTCGCACAGGATTGCAGTGACCCATGATCACAGTGGTGACTTTGTGATGTATGGGAAGTGTTGGGGTAATTGGTGTTTTTTCAAGCTGGAAACCTTGTTCTAGGTCGTATCCACACCAGGATCAAAGAATAAGAAGAAATGCATAGTGTGAGATAGGATAAGTATATAAATATACAATTTATAAGAAAATTTATTTGATGCTAAGGTTGGGCAAAGCGCGCCATGTTTGATTATTGTATGTCTGCTAGCATTGCGACAGGGGATTTGTATGTTTGAATATCAAAAATATTCATCCAAAACGCTTGAAATTCGGATTGGTGAATATTTATATGTGTCTTTGGTCTTAACCTCTGTATGTTTGGAAATGTTAGGATATTTTTATAAGAAAATATATATTCTTCTATCAGGTATTAATGTGCAAAATATTGATTCAAATGTTTTATGAAGCAGCAACGGTTTGAATTCCCCTACCCTCTTTTAAGCTCTCAATGCTACTGTCGATACTGTTGAACCAGTTCGACAGAGTGCGTCACTAGCCGTTTTAATTAATTCAGCAGGCAGGGCTAAGGAGTGTGAAAACAATTCAGCAGGCTAAAGGATATGTCACACTTGCTTATGTCACATTTATGCATTCATGAACTATGTTTATTAACATTTTAGAAATGATGACATCAAATATGAAAAATATTGATTCAATTCAGGTACCTAAACATGTGTGCTCTTATCGATACCTTCCAGTATAAAGATAATTCAATATTGTACACTGAGTCATTGTTTGTGTCACACAGGTACAACATCACAGAGGAGGAAGAGAAACGACGTAATGCTGAAGTTCTGCTGGAGAAAACTAAAGACCAGCTAAAGCGAAAAGAAGATAAATATACCAGGTATAATTTTATAGAAGCCGTAGTGAAATTAGGTGCTCATTTGTCGGCTGCATCTAATTTCTCGCTTCATGGTAAATTTGCTCACGCGAGGCACTGTCTTCATCAGCTGATGAACGTCAACAAATACAACTTCAATCCTTATATTGACAGATGCATAAATCATTACATACAATCCATTAAACATCAAACTTAAATTATTTAAAGTGAACTATATAATCCCGGAGAGTCCTGACGTCATCCGTCACAAACATTCCATTTGAACTGACATCCCTTGGTTTTACAAATGGCAGATAATGGCGGCTGTGGCAATGTCATTCACTTGAAATACAAGTTGCACCCAGTAAAGGTAGCGTTGGAAAGAAATCCAGACCCAGCTGAAGCTGAAAATGGATTGATATTAACATTCTTTGAACTTAGGGTGTGTGTTTGAGTCATACTATGGCTGCAGATGACAGGGATTACCGCTTGAGGTGGCGCGGTTGGATTTCCCAAAGCAATACACGACAGTGTAGAGCTCAGTGATTTCTTTTGGTAAGTCAAGCATTCTCTGTTGTAGCTTTGAATGGACGCTTCATTTCGGTGACCCGTCATATACATGATCTGTCTGACTTCAAAGCCTGCATCATTCGCAGCCTGAATCGATGTCGCTCCAGTTTTCCCTTATGATTTTGAATGTTCTTTTTAGACATTGAGGAATTCCCCTAAAGTAGTTCTGTATGTCTCCGCGCGATTGACAACGTAATCACGTGGCATACTGACGTTCATTGGGAAATGAACGACAGTCAGTTTGGTAGTGTCGACCCAGGCGAGGTCACCTGCTACTGTCAATATTCCAGACTCACATAATGTGCAATCCTCATGAATCAGAACAAGATCAAAGGTTGCAAGTGAAGATGACTTACCAATACCAAGCTTGGTAAATTTGTGAATAAGATAGTCATGAAAGTTGGCTTGCATTTTTTGGACTCTACTTTAGAACACAAATTTACTTCAATTGTTACTCGATAACATTGCGAGATATGGTATTTTGTTCAAATTTTGTTTGTAATATTTTAGTCTTCAGTAGTTATGCAGCACAATCTGTGAATATCAATGCTGACAGCAACCTTTGTTAAGTGACTGTCTTTTTTGACATTTTAAAGGGACAGTACGTCAACGGTTCTGTGTGTTTTTGAATCATTCATGAAATAATTTCCAAGTGTGTAATCACATGCCCGATTCAATTCTCGAACCAAAACAGTTGCCGACAACCCAAGTTCTGTGCAGAGTAAACTGGCCGCACACTGAAGAGAATGTGTCTGTTACGACTGAGTTACAAAATACTTACTGAAGCCAATCACTCTCAAGACCCAGAGTTCCTTGTGGCCAGCCTAGTATCTCTGTCATATTGTCACATCTTGAACAATCCATTCATGTGTTTTTCATCTGTTGCATTTGGGATGAGTCTACACATTTAGATAATGTCATGTCATGAAATATTTTGCCTTCATTTAGAGTGTGAAAAACTATTTCCATTTATGTATTTATCCTCCACGTCTGGTCATCGAAGCCCTCCAGAGAGATAGCCATAAATGGCCACTTTGAAGTGAAAAGCTATATTGTCATGCAACTCACTGTCACAGTTGTAGTATTTTATCGATATAATTATGCAAAACAATATGTACTGAAAGGCTTGTTGTTTGTTCTTATTTTAGAATAAGTGAGTTTGTTTCAAAACAAGAGAAAAGTCTGGTCATGGCACTTCAGTGTTGGCAAGGGATCAGAAACAGAATAAGCTTGGGGCTAATTGGCTATTGTCAGGGTATGAAACTCCCAAAAATTTCAGCCAGACCACAGGACTGGCTAGCTGAAATACTTGCCAGCCCTGACCAAAACCTGCCTGCCCACTATAATCATATGTTTCTCAGGATAAGGTAATGGGGTTTCTTTTTGGTTACATTTTATCATTCATCTTTACATGTGAATTAATGCTTATCATCGGGAAATATTTAGAATATTTTTACATATGAAATATAACCTGACCGTCGGGCAGGGGGATTTGAAAATCTGGCAGCCCGAGTTGAAATCAACCCGTCTCGGACGGTCGGGCAGGCAGGTATTTCGAACACTGCTATTGTTTACTGATACAATAGGGGGGGTTATCTATTTTTAGACATGGCGCCAGTTTGTGTGATTGGTAATTGATTATGATGTCATCGTGTGAGGGGTGAGGATCCATGTCAGTTTTTGCTTGTGGCAGGTCACAGATTTTCAACTTCCATCACTTTCTGGTGAATATTAAATGTAAATTAGAAGTAATCGTAATTATAATTGCTGCAATAGTTTAGACAGAAAGTTTATAAGTGCTAGATCTATTTAAATATTGTAAAGTAATTAAATCTTTTGTGTTTATACATTTCTGTGTTCAACTCGTTATTTTAGCTGGTGAACTTGTGTAGCCGTAACTTGTTTGGAGTTGCTGATACTTAAATATTAACACGCTTCTGTTCTGACCCAACTCGTAAATAATCCAAACAACACTACCCAGGTGCGTTACATTAACAAACAAGCTTCTGAACGGTCGACATCCTGTCCCTTTAAACTTTTGACTTCATAAATATACAGTGAGTACATATACACTTTTGTGACCAACTCGTGTCATTCCGGGACAAGCTGAATGATGACTCATGCCCCTCCGATCATGACCAGTTTGTGTCATTTCAGGAAAAGCTGAAATGTGACGTGTGCTCTTCTAGAAGGATTTTGTATTGGTTGTAAGAACATCAGAAATCCTTTAGAATTCCTGCAAATACTCAACCTTTATTACAACATTGCAATCCTGTATCTTGGCTGTCATCAAACTATAAAAATCTTCAACTATCCATTATAAGTTGTATGGATATTAGTTTCCATTGCCAAGTGCATAAGACAGGAAAATGTAATTTCTGTAAAATGAACATTTATTTATTGCAGATTTTCTTAACATACTTAGTGTCTTATTATTTGGTTGACTAAAGAAATTATCACATTATAGTTATTTGGTGACATGTTGTGGGAAGGATGGTGCATTGAGGGAGGGACATACAAGATCTCCAGGACTCTGCACTCAACCTGTTGGAATTGCAGAGATTCTCTCCGTATGCTAGAATAGAGATGTCCCCACCCTGTGCGCCTCTCATTCTGTGACCTTGTTTATCCCTGTGTATTTTGTGTCTCCACTGTCAAAGATGTGATCTTGTTCTAAGGGGAAACCTCCACCTGCATCATCCAAGATCAAATAGTAGCAAGCCTCAAGCCACCTCTACAAGTACTTCAGTGATTTTAAGCAGTTAATTAAGACTCAACAGGCAGCTATGCAGGCTTTGTTTGACAAGCAGCTGACCACCATCACTATCAAGATCAACAACCGTCTTGACTCAGAAACATTCCCCTGTCAAGAGGCCAGACGTCTGACCATGGGTTCATGGGAAGAATTAGACACCTTTGCTATAGGGGTGTCGCATGGTGGGATTGGTAAGCCTCTGTTCCTGTATAGATTTGGATGTCATGGAGTTGAGCTTGGCTGGCAACCCAGCACGGTTTTCACACGGAGAGCTTGCTACCAAGAGCCCTTAGCCACAGCCACCCAAGCCCAGTAGGAAGAAGTCTAACCGTTTGGACACACATTGATGGATACCACTGGGAAACTCACAACAGGGTTTATGAGGAAGTGCCAAGTTGCAGCAACCATCACCAGAGAGCAAGCTCGAAGACAGTACAGGTGGAACAGTAACTGTGAATGCCATTGTCCACCATTGACTGCACCTGCACAGCTGGTCACCATAAGGCTTAATCAGAACATAGATTGTATGGAGACAGCTGGTCTGTTAGTTTGTTTCAGTTGTTTCACGTAGGTGTCAAGTCTAAAAGGGCAGCTGAGAAAGCCCACGTGACAACTATTGTCATGATATGAGTGTATTACCTTTGCTTTAGTAAATCTACACATGTAAACACTTTTGACATATCCACTGTGCAAGATAACAGTAATTAATCAACATACTTTCTGTTGATCCTTTGATGTCTAGGAATGATCCGTTGTTTTACATAAAGGTAAATCGACTGATCGTTCATCTCTTGCTGGGCTGCTACATGTATATTATATAACACACATTTTGCCTCACTTCAAACCTGGGTTTAGATTGAACAACACAAGAAATGCCAAATGGGAACCTTTATCAGGTAATCTGAGGGTGTCCTCCCATCTGTCAGACATCCAACTAATTAGACACTTTTAGTAATGGTTACCGGTAATTGAGTTTAGCAACGGCATCCAGGTACTGCATTGTCGTCATTTCCCGCTGTCCACTTTTTCTTTCAGGTGTGCTAGTCAATTGTCAAACTCCTTGTATACTCGCTTCCAAAGAGGAGGGGCTGCACCAAAATACACAAGTGTAGGGTTTTACCAGAAAACATGGATGACAACAATGGAGTAGTAATCGTATTATCCATGCAATCCGAAATCCGAAAATGCTTTCACTCAAGGATTGTTTTTTTTATTATTTAACTGTAACCATCAGGGATATTTCCAAACAACGAAATCCGATGAGCTTCCGCCGTTTGTTTTGTTTGTTTAGGCTGAAGAAATTAATTAACATGTGCCCTTTGTCGAAATCTTCATAGATCACGGTTAACCAATCAGTGTTCAAAAATGTGAAAAACAAATATTGCCTCCAAGTTTATTTATGCTGTCCTTGCAGACAGTAGCCCAGGCTCTTGTCATGCTCATTTGCGTGAGCGAGCAAATCGACTCACGGCTGCTAGTGAGCCCTAGCGGCTAGTGTCAGACAGCCAAGAAGAAGCCAGAGATTAGTGCCCCTTTAATGCCAAGCACCAAACAGGGTAACAACAAGTACCATCTTTTAACGTCTTTTGGTATAATGCGGCCATGGAACGAACCCCGGACCTGCCACTCTCCAGGCGGACGCCTACCACTGTGGTTAAACACGCAGTGATGTTTTTTAACAGGAAGTGATGTCATTTAACAGGAAGTGATATTGTTAAGTCAAAAATGCTTCTTATTTATTGTTTGGGGTTCTAACATAGGTCTAACTTCAACTGCAATAGAAAATATTAGGGATCAATGATGAAAATGGATATTACTCATCAGATTTTGTTGGGAAAGTTTTGGGACATTCAGGAAAAGGTGAGATGGGGATGGTTCAAGTCTGAAAAGTAAGAAAGTATTTTCTTAAATTATTCTTAAGATAGCACCATGAAAAAGGTTTAGAAAGTTCGTAAAAAAATATATGAGTATTAGCCAAAAGAATGGAAGTGGGTATGCATATGTATATATGCTGATGATTACATTTTGCCTAATTTACATCTTGACAGCTCCATTGAAGACAAGCAGAAGGTTGAACTTGAGAAGAGAAACATGCAGATGGAAATGAGAGCTGTCAACAACAGGATTAGAGAGGTACACTTGTACGATCAATTTGTTCAAAGCAGGCAGGACCTATATGCCAAAGTTCAGTGAATGACTTCAATGGGGACTGGGGTGCAAATATAAGTCTTTTTGTGAGAATATACTGCATACTTTGCAATCATTCCAAAACCGGGGCTTATGAGGTGATTTGCAATAGTTTGTTGATCTAATAAGTGTTAACAATGGAAACTGATTTGTTAAGAATCATTAGGTCTGCCAAAATTGCTAATTTTTACGAAAGTAACTAAACCAAATTGTTAACTATCCATGGTATTGCGAGATGTCAGAACCCACCAGTCCCTCTGGTATATTCTGGCAATGATGTAATAGACATCAAAACAATAGTTGTCATTGTTAATAATTCAAACAATACTATCTCTTTGCATCAGGAGTAATCCCACCCACCTATCAGATTTGGAAGAAGTGAGGTTTTCTACCTCACTCATGAGCATGAAGAAGGCTAGCAAGAAACTGTTACTTCCACAACTAGTTTTGGGTATTTGACAGTGTTGAGGACTTCTGTTGAAAATCTGAAGACTTTTATGGTGTGGTGGTAGCCAAAATTATGGATTTATGACAAAGGTGTAATAGAGGTAGTTATTCTTTGATATACTGTAAATCTTGAAATTTATGCATCTCCAAATTAAAACGATTGCTGACCCCCAGCCAAAAATGCGACTCCCTCCACACCATCCCCATTGCAATTATACATATCCTTAACTTAATCCAATCAAATACCAAATAGCGCTGCTTATTAGCACTGAGTAAAGCACTTCTGTAATAACAAAAAACAGTGACATAATTCCTAACAACAACTCACAGTTTATATGTTTATTCTGTTGACTGGCATTAGGGAAGTTCAAAGGCAATAAAACTATTTGAACCAACAACCATTCACTGATTGGAGTTGTCAATGATGCCTAGTTTGACATGAGTGGGTAGAACTCTTGACCCCAGCAGTGATAACTCACCGGATGCCTATTGTGTAATTCCTATTCTTTAAATGACGGGGCGGTCGGGTAGCCTAGTGGTTAAAACATTCACTCGTCCATCGAAGACCTGGGTTCAATTCCCAACATGGGTACAATGTGTGAAGCCCATTTCTGGTGTCCCCCGCCGGAATATTGCTGGAATATTGCTAAAAGCGGCGTAAAACCATACTCACTCACTCACTCAATCAAGTATTGTTATACTTGTTACAACTGCTGCTCAGTAAACCTTGTTTGTGTTTATATTCAAATTGGTATTTCCGCTATCCAAAGTGTGTAGTGAGGCTGTCTTATTGTTGATAGTCATTTCAGAGACATAAATGTGAAGTTTCATAAATGCGAACAAGGACCACTTGCATTTTTCGCATTTAATTCACGCTCATGTTAATTTCAAGATTTACAGTATGAAAGATGACAACTGTTGTTTGATTTTACTCCCGCTACAATCATTTGATGCCGCTGACAATTACTACAAAAATATTTACATGAGTCCCAACTGCCACATAACAATATCCATGTGAGCTAGCGGGCCTGGCTGCATCTTTTGATAAGCAGTCAAGGAAGACGTGATGATATAATAATGAAGCTTGCATAAGGTTCAATACTACTCTTTCAATCATTGTCAGGGAAGTGTTACTTGTGTATGAACGGCAATTATGGTGAATTTGACAGCTGTGAGTCAGATCTTTTGTCTTCTGTAAGCGTTCTAAAGTTTGTTTAACAAGTTGAGTGAATCCTGTTCAGACATGTCCATAGCCTTGCCCTCTCACCAAAAGTTTATAGTGTAGCACTTGGAAAATTGTTTACTTTGCTATTCTGTGCTCTAAATCATTTCTGTAAGATTTTTGTTTTCATGTTTTGTCGATAATGTCACAATCTCCCTCATTTTGAGTCTATAAGCATGCAAGGTAGCACACAATTTGAAAATAAGTTTCAGTCCTATATTTTTAAACTTTTGAAGGACTATTCCTTTAGCTCATCTTATTTATTCAGTTGGAGAGTGAACATGAGGAGCTTGAGCAGCAACTTGACCATGAACGAGAGACACGTTTGCTGCAGGAGAAGATCAATGAAGAACAATCTAAATTCCAGGAACAATTACAGAAGGAAAAGGTTAAGGCTGTATCCCAACTTGTGAGTAGAAATCTGTTAGCAGTCTTTGCTAAGTAAAAGCGACAAAGCCATTTCCATAATTGTAAGATTCTGACTTTATCATAAGCATGACTTTCAACAAGATTTAAGACTGCCATAATAGCTATTGTTGAAGCTGTCTTTAAACTATTGCAACAAAACCTTACTTTTAAAACTTTGCTAAACAAAAACAACTTTTAAGGAGGCAAAGTAAGCTGGGCTGTCTCAGTGATGGTGACAAATATAGTAAATTCCCTTGAATAAAATTCATGCATACTCTTATGTTCAGGTAATTAGAATATTTGTCAGTAAGTCTGTATTTTGTAAAATAATTTTGTTACAGTATACAATCTTGGATATATCTATATGTACGTGATATATATCGCAAAGAACAATGAAGAATGAAGCGTGGTTTATCTAAGAAATAAATGACCAGTGGGACTTGTTTATCATACAATAAAACACTGCAGGGAGGGGCACGTTTATTTCTTATATGAGATATATACAGCCTCATTAAGGATGAGCCCATGAAGATCCGGGGTAGAATAAAGGTCTTCAGCAACCCATGGAAGTGTCCAGTTCCCCATGTATGTAGCTTGGCTCCGCAGATAAACACAGTGGCCAAACGATCATAACCGACAAGTGGGAGAGTTATGACAATCGGTATAAGGAGAAAAGGTACAGATAATTGACGTCAGGATCGTGAGAATATGCGGGAAATACCAAAATTAATCCCCTTGTTCGTAAAATGGACACCCGATCCCATTAGTCGCCCCTTTCAAAAAGGATAGTCACCTTTTACAAGCATGGGTTCCTGAAAACCTATACTACCCCGGATCTTCACGGGCCTGGATACTATAATCCCAACCCTGATTGAAATTATTAGCACTATTCTGTAAAGACCTTTTTCTGTTCACTTTCATTAATTGAGAAAGTGCACTTTTGAACAGTTTCTTCATTCCATTATACTTGAGGCAAAAAAACATGTTCATTGAAATTCCCAGTGTCAGAACCAGTTCTGACTTATTTTTTATCTCTCTTGAAAGTTCTTACAGTAATTTTGTTTACATCCACCCTAAATTTGGCCCTTTTATGACATGAATTTGAAAGCTGTTAAAATAAAAGACCATATCAAATAGACAAGAAAATCATGTGACAATCACATGTGCAACTTACCTTGACGTTTTCCAGAGACTGTCTGGTTTCCTCTGCAGCATGCATGACACCAATACTGTCACCAGTTATTGCAAACCATATTGTAGTATACGCTAACTGACGAATACTAATGTCCTACTTATGTCTATTAGAAGACTGCTTCAAGAATACATATTGAACAAATAATTATTTTTGCTACGACACCTTTATGACAGTCTTAATATTAACACAGTCAGAAAAAAAAGAAGATTCACCCTTGTCATTATTTGCTTTCACAAGCAACCACTTGGGTCTTATGCTTTTAATACTCATGTTTCAGGTGGAGAACAAATCTCTTTGTACTGAAGAAAGTTTTGAAGATAAGATAGATGTCAGTGAGACTCTTAAAGCTGAGCTATTTACTTTACAAGTAAGTACATTAATTCTTACATAACTTCTACCTCCATTACATCTCTGCCATAAATCCTGTATTTCGGCATCAATCACACTAACTAAAGTTTTCAGATTTTCAACAGATGTCCTCTTTACTGCCAATTACACGCACAACTAGGTGTCGCCAAGTAGTCTCGTAACTACCCAAGCCATGACGTCATAATGGCAACAACAACACTTTTTTCCTGTGTGTGCTAGAGTCAACACCTATTGTAGTAGTAACGATCTAGCACTTGGTAGTAAGTCACATTAATCTAAGATTGTTCTGATAGTTTTCTATAATAACAGACATATAAGTATACATTAATTTTGCTGCTGGAAGATATAGCACACATGTAAGTATAGCTGGTGCTTTGTTGCTCTTTGTGAGGTCAAAATGCAGTCTCCCTCTACCCCGGGGTGTTAGTGTGGCGGCTTCATGGTCACGAGAGATCCTCATGAAAGCTCTGCATGAAGTTCAGAGGCACTACTTGTAATAATGTGAGAAGTGCGTCAACACAGAAGATAAGATCTTCTGAAAGATGGCCGTGACTACAACTAAGGCCAAGAGACGGGAGGCCGCCAAGAAGAAGGTGGAAAACATCACGGCTGAGAAATCAGTCTCCAACTCCCCGGATATCCCCCCATCTCCTGGACTCTCTATGAGTCTGATTCACCAACTATTTCAGCAGCAACAGAAGATGGTAAAGAGCTTGCAGTTCTGGATGAAGAAATGGCCAAAATCCGCAGAGAGGAATGCCATCTGTCCTCCCTCATCTGAGCTACATTTCAGGAAACATCCTATCCTGAAGACATGCCGTCGGATGCAGATATCATCTAGTGAGAGCCAAATTCTACCATGAATTTGGAATTTACTCGATTCTGATTGGTCAATCAGAGGCTATTAAATCACAATAAACCCCCTCTGATTGAAACAGCTGGTTTGACGGCCGCATCGCCGCGTCACAATGAGCGATATGACGTCATAATGGTGACCATTGTTGAAAACCATTGTCTTCCAAATCCAAAATAATCAGTCTTACTCCAGTCATTGATGACAGAGAACTCATGCGAAATGTTTGGGAGACGATTGTTTTCCTTTTGATAAAGCTTGATACTCATCTGAGAAACATGTTTGTTGAACTTTGCAGATTATTTTTGTCTCAGCATCTTCAATCTCTTCCGCAGATAATTCACCTACATTTGCCAACTCCTTTGAAACAGAACAGTTGTGGAAAAAGCGGTAGACCCAAGCGTTTACTCTAGTGAGTTTTGTCCAACTGGAATATCGTGCTGGCTCTAATCGGCATTCATCTTCAATGCAGTTATCAATAACGTAAGCACTGTTACTTTTTAAGATAGCGCTATTGGACTTTTTCTGAAGGGAGGTCACCTTTTGTTTTGGCCAGTTATTTTCCCCTTGCTGTAGGAAATCTGGTCCGCACCACCACATGCTGTTTAGCATAATAGAAGATGATACACCACGGGATATCATGTCTGCAGGATTCAATTCTGAAGGGACATAATTCCACTGAGAGGGATTAGTTGCAGCTTGTATTTTTCCAATTCTGTTGGCAACGAATGTTTTGAATGAACGGCTGTTGCTTTTTATCCAACAGAGCACATTATTGCTGTCTGACCAGAATATCACACTCTTCAGGTCAAAGTTCATTGCTTTGACAACTGCAACTGCAAGCTCAAGTCCAATAACTGCAGCCATTAGCTCCAAACGTGGGATACTCACAGCTTTCAATGGTGCTACCCGACTTTTAGCAGCAACTAACTGACTTGTTGTTTTACCATCAGAGTCAGTATGAACAGCATAGACAGCTGCACCATAAGCCTCTCGTGATGCATCAACAAATACATGATAAAATGCACTTCCCGAGTAGTCTTTAAAAAGACATCGTGGAACTTCAACACCATGCATATCATTCACTTCTCTAAGCCACAATGATATCTTGTCTTTTAGATCACCATTGATGTCATCATCCCATCCATAGCCTATCATCCATGATTCCTGCAACAATATCTTAGCAGTGATTGTGAATGGACAAATGAAACCCAAAGGATCAAAGAGTTTTGCTATTGTGCTGAGAAATGTCCTTTTGGTAATTTTGCCTCCTTTTTCAAATAAGTCAGATTTGAATACAAATGTATCTTTTTCAGCATGTCATAGAAGCCCAAGTGTCTTCAATGAAGGTAAGTAGCCTTTGCTAATATCTACTTCAGATACCCTGTCGCCTTCAGGAATGTGTTCAAGTACCTTCAACGAATTTGACAACCATTTTCGAGCATGCATACCAGCTTTAGACCACAACTCTGATAACTGTTGATAGAGCTCAACACCTATTTCTTCAGTCTCAACCGAGTCCATGCCATCATCCATGTAAGTTGAGTTTAACACGGTTTCAGCTGCTAAAGGGAACTCTGATGCATATGACCTGGCATGTTCTTGAGTGACATACTGTGCAAGAAATGGAGATAATGTTACTCCAAATACTACTCTACTCCACTCATATACTTCTATAGGCCCAACCGTTTTCATAGAACGCCACAGAAATCTATGATAGGGTCTATCTGCTTGAAGCATTTCAATCTGGAGATACATTGCTTCAATATCACACATAACTGCAACAGGATGCTTTCTGAAACGGAGCAGTACATCAAACAGTTCACGCTGCAATTTGGGACCTGAATAAATTGCATCATTCAAGGACATGCCTTCATATCTAGCAGATGCATCGAACACTAAGCGTACCTTAGTTGTTGCTCTGTCAGGTTTCATGATTGGGAAATGTGGCAAATACCACTTTCCTTCAGATATTTCATCCACATTTACTTTGCGAATGTATTCCTTAGACAAATACTGTTGGATGACATTTTCATATTCAGTGGCAACATTTGGATTTTTCATAAGCTTTTTCTCTATACTTCTGAGACGACTGGCTGCCATTTCATAGTTGTTAGGCAAACATCTACTTTTTTCTTTCCAAGGGATTCCTATTTTGTAACGCCCTTCATCAAACATAAGTGTACTTTGGACTTTGTCTACAGCCAACCTATCATCTGGAGTCCATGTAGAGGGAAAGTCAGATTTGATATCTTCAACTTCCCAGAATTTTTGCATCAAATGATCAAGTTCATTATCAGCCGTGAAATAAGCATCCACAAAAGATGTCTGAAGAGGTGTTTGCTTTCCAACATTGCCAATACATGTCCAGCCCAAAGGTGTCCTCCTTGCTATGGGCTCTCCAGGTTTACCACAAACTTCCTCATAACAGCAATGGAGTTCTAGGTAATCAATGCCTATTAGCAAGTCAACAGTGGATCCATAATTTGTGCTAGGGAATTCAATGTTTTTCAGATGACTCCACTTATGCTTGCACTTCTGCCAGTCAATGGTTGTCATATTGCCTGTTACTCTGTTTGCTGTAAGAGCTGCAAATTGCATATTGACAACACCATCTAAGCTTTTAAGTGTAAACTCCACTGGTTTTGTTTGAAAGGTTTCAATTTTACCATTGAGAACATTTACAGAGATTTTCTGTAGTTGACCTTGCAAACCCATTTCTGCTGCAATTTCTGCATTAATGTACGATCTTGTACTAGCATCATCTAATAAGGCATTAACAATGATGCGTTTACCTTCACTAGACAAAACAACCGGTACAGTTCTTAGAGCAGTTACATGTTTCTGCTTAACGTGAGGCAATGTAGCATGAGATCTATCTTCAGTGGAAACCATTTCACCATCTGAAGAAGCACTATTTCGAGCAGTAGCTTTTTTATCTCCCGTTGTGAGATGCGAAGCGGTTGAATCAAAGGTTGTATTTTCAGGTTGTCTGTGAAGTAATCGGTTGTGGGCTTTTCTGCATCCATTAATACCACACAGATTCATACGTTTACAACTTTTGTTGTGATGACCTTTGCCAAGACAGTGGAAACAAAGATTTGCTTTTTTAGCTGCGTTCCACCTATCTTCCACCTTCATGGCCAGAAATACACTACACGCCCATATATCGTGTCCTTCATGACATAGGATGCATCTTTTTGCCTCACTAGATTCAACCTTAGAGCTAAGAAAGGTAGAAGACAACTTCTTCTTTTGCTCTGAATTGCTAAACTTTTGATCTGACCTGTTCTTTGGAACAACACCGTGAATAATTTCAGAAGCAGTTGTCAGGAATTCTGCCTCTTGCATAACCCATTCACGCAATGACTCAACAGAATGCTGTCTGCTAAGTTCATAAACCCATCTTTCATAACGAGCGACCATTGATTCAGTCATTTTCTTTAATAGTGTAGCATAGAGTAATCCATTGCCCAACTCCTCTACCCTATCCTGCTCTCGCAAATTCACCACTGCAATGTCTAAGATGTCTGCAAATAATTCGACATCATGTGCTTGACCTTCACGAATGGGTTTGAAATTGCTTAACTGATCTAACTGAATGGCAATCTGACGTCTCTTACCGCCATATTTCCTATCAAGTCGCTCTAGGGCGACATCATATGCAACAGCACTATGTCCCAAGCTTTCAACAACTTTAAGAGCTTCACCTGATAGATATTGACGTAACTGGAGAAGTTTGTATTCGGGGGTAGCAGGAGCCATGTCAATGCACGTCATGAAAGCAGCTTTCCAGCTTTCATAAGTTTTTACATTTCCTGAAAAGACTGGAATGGATACACGCTTTAACTGCTTTCACATGTCATTGCCGATGGCTGTGCTATAATTTACATAGTCATTTCTAAGACAACGTTCAGCAGTGTCATACCCTGACCTTTCCGAATCTCTAGATTGTTTGACCTCATGATTTGACGCACGTTCATTTCTTCTGTGAGAAGAACCATTATCATGTGCGTTTAAGTTAGGTATTGACTCATGTGTTTGTTGCCTTTGAGACAGAACACGTGTTTCCAGTTCATGGTCACGTGGTGGTCTCCTTTGAGACGAACCCTCATGTGCTTGTGATTTGTGTGATTGTACAGTAT